AAGCGCTTCCTTGCTCAACCTTCATGTTGCTAGGCTTTAGACAAAATGTTTCATTTATGTTAGACATATTTTGTCTTGCATTTATACATACGGTATGAAAGTGAACATCTAAAACCGTGGTATGTTCCCGAAGGGAAGACAAGGGGTAAGTTGATAAATAACCTGGAAGCGAATATAGGTTCAAGTTAACTTTGGGGCATCGCCTCTATCACAGACTGCATCTTCGTAAGTTCTGAGTCACAGGAGTGAATAATGAATATCAATGAAAGCCCCGAGTGACTATACAAGCAGTGCGGTATTGTTCACTCATTGTTCACTCGCTTTCTAATGAATTCTCTTTAAGTGCGTCTGCGCTCTGTCTGGTTTTCAGTCTTCCCAATATGAACACACTTCCCCGGCTACAGCTTGCATTATTGCATTCCAGCATTCTCGCTTTGCTTAACATATCAGACAGACTTTGGGCTAAGTTTGTAAAGACTAATTCAAAGGTTGTCCTTTAAAGATGGAACTCTGAAGCTAAGCTTTCACCAAACATCTAGTCAGACATTTCTTTCAGGCCTACGAAATATTATACAACAATATTATACAACTCATCCTCTCCTGCCTTTTCAAAGACAGCCTTCATCAGTGCAGGCTCAGAGCCGATTAGGAGACAGAATCATAAATTATTTCTTAAAAAAAAATGAGTCAAGTCACTTGTTTGTACTCCCGAGAGCCCAATCCTTATCACAGCAGGACGAGCTGCCTCTCCCATGCCATAGGTAACAGCCTGAGCAGGGCGGCAACCCCAGGCACTCGGCCACTCAGAAGGAAGAGTGCCGGACAGACCAAGCTGCGCCGCCCCAAGCACTCACTTCGGAGAATGACATGATCCCACATCTGGAAGGTTGTTCCTTCCCCTTGTGATGTAGAAGCACCAAAAGGGTCAAATTTTCTTAGCCCAGACCTCTTCCCACTTCCTGAGCGGATGATCCTGTTAAGAAATACGTATTTATCATCAAAGCAAACCAAGCATGAATCAAAGCTCAGGGGGCAGGTTTGTAGAGGAAGATGGAATTACTGTTACTAACTCATCTTTCAGAGCAGAAACCCAAAGATTCTGTACCATATCACTACCTTTTCCATATCATGGAAAAAAAGAGAAATATTTTCCAGTCTTGACATGAATGCCACTGCTTACTCAAAATCTCTCAGTTTCTTACAGTCTCCCCTCGTCCAAGAGACATAAAAGAACCGCTATACGTTGAGATTCGTTCAGAGAAACAGCGGTGAGGAAAAAAATAAATTTTCCCATGCTTCAGTTACCTGGTGTTCACTAGACAGAAGACAGAACTACAATTGTGCTACTACATACACTTCAGTTAGAGGTAGGTCTGAGAACATCTGGCCTGGTCACATCATGCCTGGCACAGATGAAAATTCTTATATAAACTGTAATAAGCAAGATCTACTGATAGGCAACAAATACTGAGTTTTTGTTGTGTACACTTTGGAAGAAATAATTACATTTCGGTTATATAATCAGTTATACAACTCATTCTCCTCAGAGCAAATGGTAGCTCCATCCATGAAGACTTTTGATGTGGGTTCCAAGAATTTATCATAAATCAAGGCATAAAGGGGCTTTTTGGTGGCGTTGGTTGGAAATCTTAAAAGGGAACAAAGTTTCATTGAAAAATATCGCTTTTGAACAAACGCTTGGATTTTCCACCGAACTCTTACCAAATCCAAGATGTGGGCCATACAAGGGCGCTCGGAGAGCCTGTCCGAGGCCAGTGGTCCCCAGAACCTGGAAGTCCTTGGCCTTAGAGCAGCTCATGTGCGCAGCTGCTTCACAGCCCCAACCCCAAAGCAGGCAGGCCTCAGGGTTACCATCCTGCGGTCAAAGCTGCTAAAACTACCAGGCTCCCGGGTCCAAGGCACACATGCTCAACGGTTCTGCCTTAGGAAAGGGCTCTGGAAGTGGGCTTCTAACCACTCCAGGATATTAGTATTTCTGAATGCTGGCAAAGCCAGGAGAGCTTCCAGCTTGATTGCAGAAAATCAAATAAAACTTGGATTCTCATCAGAATCCAAACAAACTGAATTACAATGAGAAAATATCCTACAAGCCTCTGCCTAGGTACTATACATCATCTGACTATGCAACACTCTCAGTTTCCGTATGAATTGTCTAGATTTCTTCTGGAACTGGAAACGGTTTTGTCACCACATGGAGTGCAATTCAAGTCAAAGGGGGCTATGTTGGATCATATCAGTCAAGGATAACACCAAGAAACTCAGTTTTGGGCCAATTAGTGTCGTAGGGAAATAACTTGCCGCTGTCACCTTCAAGAAGCCTTGACACATTTACTGTTGCAGAAAGCGCTCAGCCCTCCAGGTCCCACATTCCAGGGCTTTGGTGCAAAAGTAAGCAACATAAGAGATACCACATCCTTGTGTTTCGAACCAAAATCCTGTGTCCTTCCTAAACCAACATTCAATACAATGAATGACAAGACTTAACCTATCCAAAAAGGAGTGTAAGTACTTTGGAAGAAGGAAAAAAAAAGAAAAATAAAAAAGGAAGGAATCAGGAGAGGCCTTGCTTAAACTTTACCACAAATAGCTTAAGTATCAACAGAAAGAACGTGAGGAAAAAAGAGCATGCAGTCCCTTCATGTGCTATTTGTCGGCAGGAACTGGTTGGTAACATTCTTAATATTCAGGTCTACAGCCAGTCAATGGGAAATATTAGGCTGAGGGATGTGGGGGAAACTTAGGCCACCTAACGTGACCCCTCAAATTTGTGCACAGGATTTTATTTTATTTCATTAAAGCTACCTTGAAATTCTGTGTCTTTCATTACTATGGCCTGAAGTCAGTAATACACTTGAAAGCACACATATATCTTTAACATAACTTTGAACACTTGAGTAGCCCCATTATTTTAAACGAACATGCGCAAGTACTTTCCTGGGGCCTTTGTGTGCTCTAACTCAATGGTTTTACAGCTCTGGCCAAGAGAAGAAATTAAATAGAGCGTGATAATAAGGATTCTCTAAATTATGTCCCTCATTAACCAATAGAGGCACTCATTTTGATGCAGTCATTATTCCTACTCCTTGGCTCCAAATTTAAGCAATGTTGTTCTTACAACAAAGGTTTAACAAACTTCTCAGTGCTTTACCTGGCTCCACTTGGTATCCTAACTTATCCAGAACTGTAATGCAGAGCCATATTTAAGGTAACGCATTATTTTGGTTACTTAGATGCATCTCTGCACGAGTCCAGAAAGCCTTCTGTCAAGAGATCTTTATGGAATTAGGTTCATGGAAGTCCATCTGGATTGGGTAGAATGGAAAGTTTTGATTGCAGTTATTGTATACATTTCTCCTGATGTCTTTAACTTTTTTTTCCCCCTCCCTGAGAAGCAGTGTTTTGAGAGCTATCTCCTGCAGTTCAGGCATGTTCAAAGAAATATATGAAAACCCAGCTTGTGGTTTGAAGCCTTACAAATGAGTGCAATAAACCCCAAACAATGTGAAAATATCTAATTCAGTAAACACATTTGTGTGTTTATCATATTTTTTGGTCATTTTTATTTCCTAACTAGAGTGATAACAAATGCATTTTCTTGCTTGAACAACTTCAGCAAAAATGGCTACGTCTATTTATGCAAAGTTAGTTAGGTCATACATTACTTTTCCTACTACAGTTGTAACACAGATGAGCAACTTATAAGTCAAAACTGAAATTTTGCTTCATCTCCAGGTAGGGATTTTTAAAATACTTCTGCTCAATATCATACTTTTTCATATTCTATGATTTTATTTTGATGGTAATATTGGTAATGGAAAACCTAATACATTTTTTAGCTTCTAGTCTTTTTAGATGTCGTATTTTTTCCATGTGGTGGGTCTCCAGTCCTTTTTTTAGTACTGAAACTTAATCTTAAAATTCTGTTGAACTCATGTTAGAGCTTCTTGAAGGATTAAAAATATCAATATAAATACATGAGTCATGCAGATAATATGATATTATCAACTTTCATTTGAATGTACATTTAGTCAATTAGTGAATCTGAAGCGTAGGGTAAAAGGATAGAAAGGCAGTTAGACCCGAGTTGAATTCCCTGTTACTTTAAAACTAAGGCAGTATGATGCTGTTTGTAAAACCATCCAGCTTTTATGAACGTGTTTGCTCTAACTATTGGAAGTCTGTAAATGAAAATGCCTCCTAATTTATACCCTAAATGTAGTCACATATATGTGCATGTTCATATATACACAAGCACGTGCATGGATGGTTACGTATGTAACACTGAACAACGTTGAGAAAGTGCCAGTCTGCATGGGGCTGGTCTTGATGCCAGGAAAGTAATTAATGGACAGATGCAATAATTTCTTAATTATAGATACAATAATAATATATGGGCTTGGAAAGGGGCTGTTGTAATATTTCTGACACAGCATGAAGCTGTTCTTTTGCCTTTATTACTCTGTAGCAAAACTCTTAAACACATGCATAAATCCCCACAAGCCTGAATGCAACTTCAAACTATGTTCAAGGGCTTTGCATAACAGACCTTTGAAAGGTCAAAAACTGTACACTTTATTTCACAGAAAATACTCTTACTTTGTTATTTTTTCCAGTTTGAACTGGAGTAAAAAGCTGAAAACGTCTTGCAAAATGAAAACTCCAAAATGAAGTCTCACACCTAAAGCTACCGATGCCAAAAAGATCTGACAGGTAAAGTAAATGCAGAAACAGTACAAAAGAGTAACATATAGAATTAAAATTTATTTTAATGGGGATGAATAAAAACAATATATTTTGTTCTGATTTATCTATTTCTGTTGATGTTATACAAGTAAATAACATTCCCCCCATTTAAACATTTCCTCTGCTCAAAACTATTAAAAAAAAAAAACACAACAACAAGATAACACTTACAACCTTCTTCAGTTTCAACAAATGAAGATTTTCCAATCAGGTTTTTTCTTCAGTATTTTTTTTTAAATCAGCTTTATTAGCCAGTATTATTTTTCGGTTTAAACATGCCAAACAAATTTTGACATCTACCCTGCATTCAGCATTCACCCACCAAGTTTCTACAGTTTTGCAGAAGCTGATTTGTGTCTTTCTTCTCACAACAGCTAGAGCCTAGGACGCCCGATCCATGGCTTCAGGTTATAAATCAGTGGCTAGGTATGTTTTGCAACCGAGTTCAGTCAAAACCCTGCGTAAAATACTGCTCTGTATCACTTGGGGAATAACTGAGTACTTCCAATATGTCAATGTTTTGCAGACAAAAGCAATGAAAAGATGCACCATTTGAACAGGAGAAACATATGCAATCAAAATTATACCTTATAAACCAATTCACCTAATTCCCACAAAAGACCTACTTTAACAAACAAACAACCCCCCCACACACACACAGAGGCTTGCTCACAGCAAGGTGTTTCTCCTCTCACTCCCAGCCCTATTATTCATGCTGCGGTAGTCCCTAGAAGCCCCAGTCAGGCCCACGACCCCACTGCGCTAGATGCATAGAGTGATTATACTTTTATTTACTTATAGAGCATTAGATTTCCCTTCTGCTGTGTGAACAGGTAAAGCAGTGATTACTGAGGACACCATATATACCCAGGCAGCCAGCCACAGAAAGTAATTTCAGGCTCAGCCTTTGTTTTAAACAAACATTTGCATTTTCATATGGAGAAAAACATTTGTTTTACAATGAGCTGTCACAGCATGTTTGCTTGCTAATGAACCAAAAGTTCTTTGAATTCTACATTCTATCCTTCCCACACTCCAATCTTGCCAACCCTGGCTATCCTTCTTACTGCTTCCTTTTTTTTCCCCCTTTAACAAAGCATTTTTTATTCAGCCCTGTAGTTACTTTGTAATTCCCATACCATTTACAGCCGTTGGAGGCCATGTCTCTAATCACAAAGTACATGGCACTGGCACCATGATGTGCAGACCAGTAGTCACTATTTGACAATATTTCAGTGGGAGGCTGTCTCTGGTGGTCAGGACAGGGAATTCTGAGAAGAGGCTGCTCATCCTGTCCAGGATGATGGCTTCTTAGGATTTTGTGCTCCAGATCGCCAGTGTACAAACCTAGCCGGTCCCACCAACGGCTGCACGCTTCAGCCTATTAAATCCCAAAGAATTCCATGGAGGAGGCCCATTGCAAAGCAGAGGACTGAAGTAGGAGTGTCTAGCACACGGAAAAGTACGCCCTGCTCCCTACATGAGCTAAACCTCGCTTTCAGCTTCGTAAATAATAATAAGAAGAATAATAAAGAAAGAAAATTAGCTTTCTGCATCATCTGGAGCCAAGTTCCAAAGGAGCTTTAGACAAGAGAAAGTCTATGCTCCTCAGTCATGGCAACTCCTTTGACAATCTCACATTTAACCTTTCTGCTCCTCAGTTTTCTCCCCAAGGAGAAGAATATATTGAAAGAATGATGTTATGCAATAACAACTTTTTGTTAACACAGGAAATTTCTTACGGGGCCTATTATACCATAAGAGGAAGAATAACTGAATCATTTCTAAGTAGAAGAATGCAAGCATAAGAATAGCCAGAAATCCTTAGCTTGAGCGCCCGGCTCCAAACTCACCCCTCCTCCCTCCCCTTGTGTCTTTCTATCACGTGCAGAGCTTTGGGCACAGGAAGAAACACGGCCTACGATGGAGCAGGTATCTCCCGGCCCAGGCTGCCTGCACCAACATGAGTTAGCAGCTCCAGCGTGGGGAGGAGAAAGCACCTCAGAGCCCATGGAGGATCTCTGCTGCCACAGGTGCAAGGACAGAGGTGTCCATACCACTAACAGGCATCTCTGCAGGGCCTTCCCCAGCGCCTAGTAATAACAAAACTCTCTTTTAAGCTCCTTTTCTCAAAGTTTGTTCCTTTGAAACTCTCCTTCCTTGACAAGTCAGGCTCTGCGAACCACACATTTTGTTCCAGCTGTGCACACAACAGAAGACGAAAAGCTCAGCAACTGCCTGGAACCTTTTTGGAGGCAGGCACTGAGCACGGGTAAAGGCAGGAGGTAGGATGAGGCGCCACGCCAGCTCTCCTCCTGCTCCCTTTTGCTCTTCTTTGCAGGAGCAAGTCCTCGGGGGAGCCAGCATGTGCATCCCAGGGTGAGTTAACCCACCCTACAGAAACCCCCAGGAAACAGGACCAGGCCAGCGGAGGGCACGCTGCCGGCTGCCCAGGAGCCATGTGAAGGCGCTCCCACGTTGAGGCTTGTTGAGGCATCACATCCACCTCCGGTGTAGGGTTGTTACCATCACCTCCCCAAATGATCACTCCCCGTGGGCCAGGTCACAAATCTGTATCCATCTAAGCTGAGACTGTAATAAACATGGGTACAGCTCCTGCAGCAAAGGTTTCCTTTCATACAGAGTTACTGTCCATTTTCTAAGCTGCTCCTTGAAACTAAAAGAAAGTCATTAAAAAAACATATACAAGAACATACCAAGCAAGAAACATGTTAAGTGCTGCGTATCACGTTCCTTCTGAGGTTGGACTGATTTTCCACTGTGCTGACTGAGGGATCAGGAAAAATCATGTTAAAGAGAGGGGCAGGGAGGTGTTTTCAGCCAGGAGGCAGGACATGTAGTTCGGTGACTTAGTTCTTCTCCCGACTTGCTGCCATCCGGGGCCAGCCAAGTTACCTCTTTGCCCCCTCTCTCCCCAGCGTCCACTCTGCGCAGTTCACTCCAAGCCTTTCCAAGCTGACCTGACACATGGGGGTGCCAATCCCAGATGAGGCTTTGAAGCTCCTAGGCATAGGTAAGGAAAAAGTAGAGTATTTCCTTTAATCTTCACCATGGCATAAATAGAATTATGTCAATTTACAACAGATGAGTTTTAACATGGAGGAAAGACAAAGCAAAGCAGAAAGCTAGCTGATAAAAGTTTTCAACTGCAGATCTTTTAAGCAATTATTGTCATTTTTATTCTACTACACACCTGTTCCGCACATCCAGGGATGTAACTCAAGCTAATACTAACAGCAAATACTGTACCACTCCCATGGCAAGGTTAAACCATGTAATTAAATTAGAGTCTGCCTGACTTTGAATTACAGCTGAATTTAACCCTTGGCTGACAGAAGTCGGATTAAATAAAAAAGGGGAAAATTCCTTATTTGCAGCTAGATACATCAAGGCTCACTAGACTGAAAGGACAGGAGCAGTTTCCTTGCTATTTGATGAAAGGGAATTAGGAGGCAAAAAGACCATTTTTAAGCTGTCTTGAAAGAAAAACTTAAAAGAAATACTCTATTACCGGAGGGGAAGGTGGTAGGGTCGGATTGGATTTTCTTCTCCTGTTTATTAAAAACACACCTTGGGCACCATTCTAATCTGATTTAAGCATCACGTGAGGTATATTTATTACATGGGAAAATTGCCTCAGTGCTTTCACTGACACAGTTTGGATCCAGCCTATAAAAGTTACTCTGCATGCAGAGGACTCTCAGGCACACAAAGATGAACCGTGGGGGAGGAAAGGCAGCCAGCGGCTCCCACTGAAAGCAGCAGAAAAATAAAAAGGGAGTATTTCAGGAACGGTCATCTGAAAAGCAGCAGAAGGTGGCTTGAGGCAGAGAGAGCAAAGACATCCCATTCCTGAAGGCTGCAGAGCAATGGCAAACAAGAAGGGCAACCAGTAGAGAGAAAGGGAGATGAGAAGAAACCAGTGGGGTCTGAAACATCTTAGAGCTATGCCATAAAGCTGAGAGAATCACAGTAGTCAAAGTAACGTGTGAAAAATTTAGACGTTTCTGAATGTGCCTAATTGTGCTATTGCATGGTTTCAAGGTTTATAGCTCAGAGGCACAGAAACCCCAGAAGAAGGGATAGGCAGACTCTGGTCTTCCAGTTAGGAGTATCCATGGGTCCCCTGGGCTCTGGGACATCTCCTTCACAGCACAGGTAACTGGAAACAACTGGCCTAAGTAGGTAGTGAATAAAAGTGTCCAGCAATGACAGCTAGCAATGGGGAACAGCCAGCCAAAGCAAAAGTTTTCTGGTCAGCTGCCCAGGGCACTACTTTGCTAGAGGTCAGTAGAAACCGAATCCAATGTTTTATCTTTGCTGCCAAAGGGGCTGCAGTAGACTGCCCCTTTCACAGCTCCTCCCCTCTCCACGTAATCCAGCTTGTGAAATTCAGTCTTGTACATCAAATAGGCCATCCCAAACATCTCCAAGGTTAAATTCCAACCTCTCAGAGTAGATCAGTCAATCGCAAACGACTACCGGCGGTCCAGGACAGCACTTCAAACTGTAGCAGTAAGTCTAGAATTATTGTCTTATAACTGAAACATACTACTCCTAAACAGCTGCTCCAGGTCCTTATAAACAGACATGCTTCCTCTGGAAAAATCCTCCCTGCAAACCTATTTGCTGCACAGAAAAACCAAACTTAGCCCCAGCTCAACCTCTACTCATGGCTGGAATGAGTCACGGTCCCTTTTGCATTGTCAGAGACCCTTAGTATGGAAGGCAAAGGTGAAAAGAGTGATTTCATGCTTATAGCAGGGGATGAAGGAGGGGCAGGCTGCATGCATGGGCAAATCACAGAAGTGTCATTAATAATTAATAACCACCAAAGCTCCTGGGGGTCCACTCATAGTCAGGGCTCCAAAGCACTGCACCAGGCTCCATCCCTGCAGGACGACGGAGCACGGCACAGAAATCCCCGAGGCAATGAAAACCAAACACACACTCAAAGTGGCATAGCCCTCTCAGGCAGTCACCGAATGGCTTGGTTAGCTTGGACACAGCGCCAGGCTAATGTGGTATCCTGCTCCCAAGAACTAAGGTAGCAGCTTGGCACACAACTGGGCTAGCTTTACGCATTTGTGGAGATGAAAACATGGAGGTCTCTGTTCCACTGTGCATTACGGACACATTCTCATCTATTGCCTTAAAACTAACTTACCTTCAAGGACAATTTTCACTGAAATGCTTGCGCGAGACCTACTATGGTTGATACATGACACGTAGCCTTGCTTCTGCCACTCCAGCCGCCCATGCCCTTGCCAGAGGTGGCCATTCTGGTAAATAGCCGGAGGTAGCAATGCCTTAGACCGCAGTACATGGATTTTCCCAGTTTTACCCAAGTCTATGGCCCTGTAGCAGAGGTAGCAGAATAGGATCTCCTTGCATGGCTTGCTACATCATTATTGTCTATTTTTTCAAGATCAAAACTGATAATCTACACTTTAGTATAGAAATCCCTCATCCTGGACCGTGGAAAGCAACTCCATTAGACAAGACTATAATGGCAGCATTTAATGTCAGCCATCCTGACATTAAAAAAGAAAATAAAACCTACTAAATCCTTAAAGAGATCCACTGTTTTCCCTAAATTAGGTATAAAATGTTTAGTCCATGCCACATTAAGACATGAACTCTCTATTTCTGGGATAGAAATCTACAACCAAGTCTACAGATGATCAAAACCCCACCTAAATGTTGGCAAGTAGATGCACATGCACAAGATATTCGTTACCATATCTTGCATTGCCAAGTTCAAGTCCTGAAAATACCTTCCAGAGGTGAATTCAGAGAAATTATTTTTGCAAAAAACATTGTTCTCACTTCAGAAATCATATAAAATAGAGGAAACCATAGAAAAGTTGGTTAGGAAGGGACCTCAAGAGGCTGTGTATGCTTGCTCCTGCACTGAGGAAGAGCCCAATATATCTAGCCATCTTGATAGCTGGCTCTGCGACTGAAATAAATGCATATTAGCGTGAAAGAAACCACATATTGACTTTTTATGTTACCAAGTTACTCCTTATAAAGCTACATGGCCCAGAAGGACAGCTTGTGGTTGCAGCAGCTGGCTATATTATTAATTAGATCTTTGGCTGCAGCTTAAAGGGTGCATTGTATCTCACAGGTCAGACTTTCCTGCTGCCACTGCCATCAAAGAATTTGTAACTGACTCCGTAACTCCCTTAAATTTTTCTGGCAAAACACTGCAATGAGAACTACCTGACACTTCCTCCTATACAAGACCTAAGTGCCTTACAGTATACATGTTAATAATGACTTATTTTAACCCTTGGATACACTTTTTTTCTATGCACAGAACATCCATTGAAGTCCAGGCTAAGTCTGTATCCATAGAAAAACTATCTTATACTTCACGTTGACTCCATTGCGACTGTAGAGCCATCCTTGAACAAAGGGGACCCCAATTTCAGACAAGGTGGATGAACTGATTTAAAATATATAATAATTTTTGCTTTTAGAGGCAACTTGTAACAGAAGACTCCTCCTTTCTTGCAGTACGAAGTTAATAATTTATTATGACACCAGTTCTGGCACAGCTAATCTGACTGCCAAGTGGAGAACAGTGCCTTGCAGTCTGCCCCTATTCAAGCCCTATCTAGGTGCTCTAAAAGGCGATAAATAGCTGAATTACTCCTGCATGACCGGGATCCAAGCTCTGGATAGATCTTACTAGGATATGAAATTGCTTTTTCACTTCTCATTCCTTAGAGTAGTTGAATCTAAGTAAGTCAGAACCTAACCTTAATGTAAATGCTGGTATTTGTTAACAGTGCATTATTGTTGGGATTTTTGAGTACATATAAAAAAATAAAAGAGAGAGACATAGACAGTGGCTGTGGAAACCACAGAACTCAATCATGAGCTGTTTACTGCTCCACCATGCAGTTGGGTGGTATACAGTAACTGTGGTACAAATTCTAAAACTTAGGGTCTCGACACAATGTCAGAACTTCAGAGCTGCATTAATAGTTTTATAAGAAAAGAAATGAAATAGTTAACAGCAAGGAATCAAAAAAAGAAGAAAATTCTATAAGTGATAGTCCAAACACAGTACTGTTTTCTCCAACCGAAAGTAAATGCATTTCTTCAGAATCTTCTCAAACACAAGCAAGCATTCCCCTTCTGACCAAAAAAATCAAGGAAATACACTTAAAATCATAGCAGTGCTATACTTTGTTTCAGAGACAGTCGTACAACTATAGAAATAGAAATTAAGGATAAACTATGGAAAAGCTCATTCTCAAGGCTATTGTTACATCTCCAAATAATTGCAGGAAAGCCATCCTGCAATGAGAACCTAAACTTGCAAACATGATGTCAGATGCGGCTTTGACAAAACTTTAATTTCAGCTGATTCAGTTCACTGTCTTAATCTCAGCTGTAGCATCGGCTCCTGGAATGACAACATGGTTCTCGAGAAACTGTTAGTCTCCCTTACCTCTGATACAAGGACTATCTAAGAGAAAGGTATGAGCTCCTCCCACTCTTCATGCAATAAGTGCTTCATAAGATTCGTTCCCTGAACTGGAGGATGAAAGAAGTCTGCTTTGAGGTGACCTTGCTCCACAGTTTCTTTATCTCTGTTTTATAGGGAAGAAATCAAAGCTTGTTAACATAGGATAACTCACCTAAACTTACACAGTGCCAAGAATAAAATCCAGGTTTCCCAAATCCTGATTCGACAAGAACGTACTGCATAGCACCAGCTATTCATCTCCTGTTAAGCAATTCTAGCAGCAAGATACCATGCGTGGGCTTTGAGAGAGATTGGCTACTTACATTTAATTTAGATGAGAAAAAAATGCCACAGTCTATCCCTGAAAAAACAATCGTCCTCCATCATCCCTTACCCTCCCACAAACCTATGCTAGCACAGAATACACTGGATCAGCATTTTTCAGCTAAATTGATTTGCACTCTCCTAACATATTTCTAATGGAGATTTAGCCTTCTGATCAGTGAAATTTCACTTT